CAAGAGGCAGCTGATGGATGATTCTCATCGGTGTTTCTAACTCTCTATCCCTCTCTTCCTCTCTGTAGAAAATCAATAAAATATATTTAAAAAGAAAAAAAATATGTTAAGATGTTCAAGAGGGCCAGCAAACTAGTCTGGGTGGCTATCTGAGCAGAAACACCATCCAACCATATGACCCATCGCAGCCTCTGCTAGGCACTCACACCATAGCGTGCACCATTGATGGTGAGCCCTACATGCTGCTCTGTCCCTGCTGACACAAAGGCCAGATGCTTCAGCTGTCACCCTTCCAGAAAGTAGGTCCCATTATAGTGCTCACTTAGAGGTGATCTGTAATACATGATCTGGTGACAGGTACCCCTTCCACTTTCACCCATTGGGCCTTTATTCTGACTTTGAGAGAAAGAGCACCATCTATTGGTCGCTGGGTCATAGTACACCCAGCATCTTGTAGGGAGGCATCTCACCCTAATTCTCTCTGTGCTGGCACCATAAATGGAGTACTTAATGGGCTGTTCCACCAAGCCACAGGACCCTCTGTTCTAGGCAAGCCTGTCTATTGTCTCGCATCACTGTGAGAAGCACTGTTGCATGGGAAAGAAATGATAGTGAATAAGGCAATTTGGTTAAGTCCATGAAAGGTGTTGCTGACCTGAGAATCTAATTCAAGAAAGAGTCGTTTTTCCAGTGAAGACAAACCATTGCCCTCTCCCCAGGGAAGAGCCTCCACTACAATTTCCCTCCTGGATGTGGTGTTATAACAAGTCTCAGAGTTAGTTACTGAGGCTGAAAATTAACCAGGGTTGGTGAGGAGAAGTCCTTATTGGGCCAAAGCATTCTCTCTGTCCCTGAAACCATGGCCACTTTGTTCATGAGGCCACTGAGCGAGGGTGGCTGGGGAAAGAGACGACACAGGCAGGCAATCTTCTTCCTGCACACTTAGACCTCCCGACAGTAAATGTCCTTGGGCCTGAGATGTCCATCCATAGTCCTTTTCCTCAGATATCCTTTATGTTGCTGACCATCCTTGCAGACAGGTAGCTAGTGTCCATGCCATGGGGAGCACTGCCTCTCAGACCTCCTTTCCTTCAGCAACGTGTACCATGTGGAGTTATTTCTGGGAAGGTTTCATTTCTCCACTGTCCCTCAGCTCGTGGGGCCAAAATTCCCCAGCAATTAAATTCCAGCAAAACTTGCAGAGCTAACTATAAAGCAGATTTGACTTTTTACCTCCTTGGCAAACTGCTCATTGGGAAGTCCCCGTGGAGGACAATGGTGGAGAGGGAGGATAGCACTGAGGCAGGCAGAAGGCACATGGCAGGGATACCATGTTGACTGCTCCAACATATCACCAGGACCCTAGGGCCGTGGTCGGCAAACTCATTAGTCAACAGAGCCAAATATCAACAGTACGACTGAAATTCCTTTTGAGAGCCGAAAACCAACTTCTGCGCATGGGCCACGAAATTTCAATCGCACTGTACGTGCATGCCCGCCCGTGGTCTTTTGTGGAAGAGCCACACTCAAGTGGCCAAAGAGCCGCATGTGGCTCCAGAGCCACAGTTTGCCAACCACTGCTGGGCACCTGGAGCTCAGTGCTGACATATTCCATTTCCACCTAAAGAGGGCATGCTTTGGCTTGGTAGATCAAATCACTCCCAGTTCAAGATGGGTAGTTTAGTGTCCTGTGGTCCAGCCCTCAGAAGCAAGCCCCAGGAGCAGGTCAAGGATTAGTATTTCCAAAAAGAGAATAATTACTTGCAGAAGAGCGCTTGGCTTTGCTCCAAAAGCTGAGGCTGCAGCTGTACTTCCTCTATTAGGACTCGCTGCAGGCTCCACACAGCATTCATGATCAGCCAGACATTCTGAGACCTCCCAGGCCATTAAGGGCAAAAATGCAGAGCTGCTTACAATGGGCCTGGACCAGCTGAGCCCTGTCTGGCCCAGGCCTCGATGACAAGTAACTGAGACAGAGCAGCAAACCCAAAGGTGACATAGGTTGATTTTCAAATGCCAGAGTTCCATCAAGCATCTGCCGTAGCACTAAGAGCAGCAGGTCCTACGAAGATATGGTATTGCTTTTGTGTGGCTATTTTGGGTTGTGAGCAAAGCCTTAAGGAGGATGACCTTGACCCTCCAATCATGGACACCCTTCCTCTATGGGTCGGAAGCCTCTGTGGGGATTCTGCAATTGCCGAGGGGAGCTGATCCCATTTAGACTCAGGAACTGGGGAAATGACCACGTAACTTCTGAGAAAATGGAAGCAGTCAGAAGAGAACTTGCAGTCTACCTTCACATCTGCCCACCTTCCAGCATCTGCTCCCACTTGTGGTCTGTGCTACAATGCATGTTTCTGTAATGTTAACTCATATATATGGCTCCGTCGGGGGATGATGTCACTGTAATGTGGAAATTGGGTGGGTTCATCAGTGACTTTTCCTCCCAGCACAATTAATGTTTTGTGCCACCAGATAAGAGCAGCTGAATGTGAAGGACACCAGGGGAATAATTCAAATGAACAAGCTATTGCATAGGTGCTTTACATGATGCCTAGTCACCGCATCTTTCTCTTCTTGGGTCAGGGTGACCATAGGTTCGGTCTTGGGAGTGTTTATAGTACAACTCAGCAGCTTCTACCCTTCCATCAGATTCTATCTGTGAGATCCTCCCTCCCCCAACTGGTGGGCGGAGTTATGACATTACTGGCATCTGCCACAGAGACATCCCCAAGATATTGAACCACCCATCAGCGCGTGCCAAGGTGCCCTGGAGTCCATTCCTTTCTGTTCCATTCTGGGTGCAACCTTTCCTGTTCCTCCCCTCAAAAGGCTCCCCGGACCCTCCACGTGCTGTGGTCTCCATCTCCATCTGTGGAGGCAGCCCAGCTGGGTCCATCCCCCTCCCCACTTGTTCAATCTGGTTTCTCTACTTCCGTAATGAGTCCCACTCATTACTGGGGAATAAACTTTAATATGTCTTGGTGGTCAGTTTCCTGCGCCTCAAACCTTACACTATCAAGTTGTCTTTGCCCCTTTCTTAGGAGTGAAATTATTTACTGATGTATTTATTATAACTATATCTGTTTTTAAATAATTATGGTAATTGGAGTTTTTGTTAATATGAAGGTTGCAAAGTTAGGTAGATTTAGAACAGTCAGCTCCAACCTGATTTTTTCCATAAATTGTTATTTTTAGTGCATGAACTTGAGAATAAAAAATTTTCAGGAGCACATTTATCATGTTATTGCAGAAATGCCTGTATACTGCTTTCCCACTCGTAACCATGGAGAAATTATTCATGCTCTTATCAAAAGCTTATTCCTTCTTGTGCAGATTGTGTTCTTCTTATTCAAGGACACTTCTCCAGCATTTATTCTTTTTTCCTACCTCATCAGTTTTTCATCTTTCCTGGAACAGTCTTGTCAACATTAAAAAAAAAAATAATTGTCTTGATTTCACACACTATCAACATACTACCTCCATTTTCTCCCTTTTTATCATAGCAAAACTAGGTGAAAGAGTTGTCCATACTCCCTCCAGCTCTTTTCCTGTTTGGTAAGCCTAATCAGGTCTGGTTTTGTTTCTTCTCCACTCTGCCAAAACTCCCATTGTCAGGAATGACTTTCCCACTGTTTAAGCCAATTTCCTGTCCTTATGTGACTTGGATAGCTAGTAGTATTAAAGAGTTCATTACTGTCTCTACCATATCCCTTGTTCATTTGCCTTCCAGGCAACCATTCTTGTTTTCCTCCTGCTTCAATCATTCCTCCTCTGCTCCCAACCTCTTAGTGTTGGAGACTCCCCTTTCTTTCTCTCCCACACACACTCCTGCGGTGATCCCATTCAGCTTCCTGGCACCTACGTGCTGAAAATCGTCAAATTTGTATCTCCAGAGCAGACTTTTTCTTAAATTGCATCTTCATATATTCAGTTGCCTACTCAACATCTCCACTTGGTGTAATACACATCTCAAAACAGCAAGCCTAAAATTGTACTTCTGACACTTCCCACCTAACTGTCCTTCTTGTGGCCTTTCCCCTCTCATTTGGTGGAAACTCCATTGTTCCAGATGTTTGCCCAAAATGTTGTAGTTGTTTCTATCTCTTCTCCATCTATCACACCACATACACATCAGATCTTGTTGGTTCTAGCTTGAAAATACATTCAGAATCCAGCCGCCTCTTACACCTTTATTACTATCACCTTTGGGCAAGCTACTGTTTTCCCTTCTTGGATTATTGCAAAAGCCTCTCAACTGGCCTCTCTACTTCTACTCTTGCAATCAATTCACAATTCAGCAGTCATAGTGATCCTATAAAATGCATGTTAGATTGCTACCTGTTCAAAACTCTCAAGTGGCTTCGAGTCAAAGTAAAAATAACAGCCTTCAAGGCCTTATAGAATCTAACCTGCCATCCCTAACTGCCACTCACGTAGGCTTTAAGCTCTCATTCTCCAGCTCACTCACTCTACTGCAGCCACATTATCCTCTCTCCTGTTTCTTCTTCTCAAGTAGTGAATACAAGGACTGCATTTAACTTAAATAAGAATGAGGTAACAGTTTATTCATTAGTTTAGAAAAAAACCGCAAACTATTTTCTACCATGTTGGAGGATATGGGCTTAATTCAGATTGTTATTATTCCCACAGATGTTTCACAGAACACATATAACATATAAAATGTATTGCACATAACATTTTCATTCCAGTAGAGAAAAAAATCATAGGTTCAAAAATCAAGTTTGATATAAAAAAATTAACATAAAAATACAAAGTTTAAGAGTATTTTAGTTCAATTATGTACTCACTGTTCTTTGTCAGAAACATTCAGCCCTTTAGAGCCTAAAGCAGAAACTTATTAAAATCCTGCGTCCAGCAGCCACGCCCCCTGGACCTATCGACTGGTTACTCTGTGACACTCTCAGGACCCTAGAGGCAACCACTCTCTGTAGGGCTGACATGTAAGGCCTTGAACTTGGCTCACAGTATCTAGCCTGCTACAGTCCAGAAGAAGATGACTTCTTATATTTGTATATAAATGCATCTGTTTTCCCAAGGCTAACTTTGTAGCATTCCACTGGCACCAAGGAGCCAAACGGTGGCATTTTATGTAAGCATTCCTGGTGACTGGCTTCAAATGAAGATGACACTGTCTCTGATATGCCAGTTTCTCCTTCGAGAATCAAACATTTTTCAACTCCAGGTTCATCGGAGTGGCTGCCTTTGGAATTCAAAGGGAAGCCGCTCCCTTCACAGTCTGTGAGGCGCCTACGGTGATCTTCACTGAGCAACAGTACAACGGTCCCGCCAACATGGAGCACTCTGTGACAAAAAATGATACTGTATGAGCATTTCCTCCTTTTCAGATAATAAACAATACCACTTTATTGAAAATATTTGGTGTTTTTAAATTAAAATTTAATTTTATCTTTTTAAGAATGGGGAGTTTGATAATTAGGCAGAATCTTCCATAATGCATATTCATTATAGTAATTATGGAATCGCTAGTACAAATCTGCTTTAATTATCTATTTTTACTCTACTTAAAAGGCAAGCCTCAAAGTAATTTATAATAATATTCTAATAAAGGACTGTACAAAAGGAAAGGCAAATGAAAAAATACTAAGGATTCAGCATATATTAAAGGCAATCGGCTGATGGCAGAAGAAAACCACCAGGAAAGAAAGAAGATATGAACAAAGGATTGGCAAAAGGGAAGTCCTTGAAATATCAGCTTGTTGAGGAGAATTCATTTGCTCAATCCTCTGGCCAAAGTCTGTATAGTACTTATGTGGAAAAAGTCATGAATGACATGCAGTCCTCTGAGTTGCTAAAGAGATTACTGAACAGTAGGGGAGAGGCCAGCAAAGAGTGGGTCTCAAACCTACACTGCGAGAAAAAGGATAAGTAGGTGAGCCAGGCCAAGTGACAACTAGGGGCTGGCGTGAGGGAGGTGTTAGAGGCAGAGAAAGCATCAGAGACAGGGAGGACTAAAGAGGAGGAGGCACTGACAGTAGCTTGGCTTGACGGTGAATAAGAGGGTGATGGGAGGAGGAGGGAAGAAAAGAATTCTGTTGGGATATCAGTGTGGATTCTAATCGGTAGCTGGATAGACAGCCTGGAGGTAATGAGAAAGACCAGGCTGGAGGAGGAGATTTTAGAGTTCTCCACAGTAAATGGTAGATAAAGCCATCATGGTGGATGAGATCATCTGAAGTGGCAATGCATGGTGAGAAGAGAAAAGGGGGCAAGAAAAAAGGCTTAATAAGGAAGGATAGAGGGGGACCCCATGAAACACAACCCTAGGGGAAATCAAGACAAAAGCAATGTCTTGAAAGCCAAAGGAGTTCAAGAAGGGAATGGTCTCAACAGTGTCAGACGCTACAGGACTAACGAATGACTACGGTTATAAGAAGTCACCAGTGAACCTGGAGAGATCAATCTGACATGAGGGCAGGAGCAGGTGCTGGTCTGCTGGGACCAGGAGTGGACCAGAAGGTGAAGAGCAGAGATGCCAAATACATCTTATCAAGCAACTTGGCTGTGTAGGTAAGGAACCAGCGTGACAGCTAGAGAACTGAGAGCTAAGGAGGATCTCCACACGCCCAGCAGAGATGTCAGGACAATCAGCAAATCCAGATAAGTCCGTCTCTAAACGACACCACATCTACATCACTCCCATCCTCAAATCCAGCTGCACTATTGCAACTATCTCCTTTCCACTCTCGTTGCTCCTTCCACTCTCCCTTCCCAGTTTCCACATAGAAAACAAAAGTAAATCCCTGCTAACCCTCTCTCCCACTATATTGCAAATAAATTCTAAACTCCTACACGATCTGACCCTCACCGATCTTTGCCACTCCATTGCCCACTTGCTTCCCTTTGCTCACTATGGTCTGAGCAATTGAACTTCCTTTCAGTTGCTCAAACTCAAGCAGCTTTTTCTCATCCTAGAACATTTGACCTTGTTGGTCAGTCTGCACTTAACACTCATTCCCTTGTGTGCTTTCTCTTTATTGAGGTCCCAGAGTTCAACTACCATGCCCTTGGAGAGCCCTCCCTCACTCTCTACCTAAAGTAGCCTCTGCTTTTCTCAGTCATAAACTTCTGATTTAAAACCTTAGAAAATAAAGCTACCAAAACTCTAGGAAATTACTAAAATGCAATCAAATCTTAACTGAAGAGCTATAATATATAATATTTTGGTGAAATGCCCAATATCTCAAAATTATTTAAATAAATTCAACTCCTTACCTTTCCATTTCTTGTAGAATGCGTTTGATGTCTTTCCCTAACTTAAACTTTTTCCCGAATGGGATGTCAGAAATAATAATATCGACACTTTCTGAAGGCAATGGCAATTCTGAAATACAGAAATCAGACAATCCTATTAAGTAAGTTCAAGCATTTACAACCTGAAGATGAGAAAATTAAAATATGCAGGATTACTTTTGCATATTAAATAAAATTTAGGTTAGCTGATATTATGTCTAAGAAATTACAAATTTCTAAAAGGATCTCAGAATCACTGAAGGTAAATGGTACAGCAATTATGTTCTGTTCTTTGGTTTTTCAGGTATGATAAAATATGATATACGTTAAGTAGAATTTTAAATTAACCAGAAAATTCAATTCTCTAAACACGGTACATGACTAAAAACTGCCAGACAGTTCCAAGAAGAAATCTATTAAATTGTCTAGAAAAACCTTTTACAAAATTATATTCTAACTTTCATAGTTATATATAAAATTTTGCATGTGTAGATTTTTCTTATTTTTAAGGGAGATGAGCCATAGCTTTCATTGAATTTTATTTTATTTTGGAGAATAAGATTCTTTAATTCAGTTGCTTCTCAAAAGAATTTAGATGATAATTTATATATATAAAAGGCTAAGTGTCTGTCCGATTGACCAGCCAGTACATATGACGTGCACTGGCAATTTAAAAATAAATGTTGACTCATATTAAAATATTTTGTATTTTAATTTTATAATACTACATTATATATAATATTTTGACATGTAATATATATATTTATTATATATATATATATATTTTTTTTTTTAATTGATTTCTTACAGGGAGGGAGAGAGATAGAGAGTTAGAAACATCACATTGATGAATCACCTGCCTCCTGCACACTCCCTACTGGGTATGTGCCCACAACTAAGGTACATGCCCTTCCTTGCCCAGAATTGAACCTGAGACCTTTGAGACCTTTTTGTCTATCTACTGAGTCAAACTGGTTAGGACTTGACATGTAATTTTTTGCAGTAATATAATTACTGAATGAGTCTTTCTTCTAATTAATTTCCTTTCAATGTGCACACATCTGTGCACTGGGTCACTAGTATAAGATAGATAGGGCACAAAACACTTTTTCCAAAAGTAATACATTATCTTTATATTACAGATGAAAATTTCTCCATGTTTTATGAACATTCAAAGCTATGCGATGATAAATGTTTGAATTTAACATAAAAACAGACAAAATAATTTTAAATGTTTTAATAAGAAATCCTAGGCATATAGGTTTAAGGTATACAGTTTATTCTGGTTTATTTGAAACATCTTGTAGTATGGCCACAGAGAATTTGCCTGACTGACGAAGGGCTTAGTAAATATAGACCTAATAAAATACACTAGTTTTAGCATCTATGAAGAATATATTTTACCAAGTTATTTCATCAGGAATAGTCAAACACTATGTATTATGAGTACGTTGATTATAGCCATATTTATTTTATTTTTAGCTTTCACTGAATTTTTAAAGGGGATCCAGAATGTTAAGAACATCTACTTAAGCCCTAAGCCTAAATAATTGATATTCAACAAGTTGAAGATTATCACTAAATAAAATTAAAGTGTTTGATTATGAAATCTAAATTTCTTGCTCATCTTTGCATTTTTGTCTCAGAAATGAGATTATCATATGGCAATACACCTAATCGTAACTTCCATATTTTCTGAGGATTCTTTTCACTTTCTACTTATTTTACTTCCCACCCATTTTTATGTACATGAGAAAACCTGGAATTGAGAATGAGCAGAATTTCCACAAAAACTGAAGCCTGCATTTCCCTGGCTGGAGCTGAACCACTGGAGACCTCTTTCTGGAGCAGAGCAGAGCTGATGAGAGCAGCCATGCAGTTTCCAGCTGCTCCACAGCAGTGCTGCTTTACAGTGGAGTTGCTTGCACTAAACTACTTTTCCTCCACACCCCAAATTATGGACTCCTGTTGGCATCTGAATTGGCACAAATGGCCTTCAGATGACATTTCATGACACCTAACTTGGGGCTCTGAAGTGCCAACCAATTTCCTGACACCATCCTGAAACCAATTCCTCTGGCGCCTCAACAACCCCTGTGCTCAAGCTGTCTTCCTGATGGCACCTGATGCTGTTTTCAAGGTGAGACAGCCTTTGAATGGGAAAGCCTGGGGTGAAGGCCAAATTATCTAATGCTGGCCTGTTCTAGCTGTAATGTGACTCAAGGCCAACATGGCAGTAGGTCTTGCTGGGATGGAGTTTCCCAATGCTCCAGTGTGATTCCTGCACAGATGTTCAGGCAAAAAGAAGCAACCCAGCCCCATAAGTTGGAGAATCCATCACTCCCTGTCATAACTATACCTGGTGCCACAATTAACTCACACATTCAGTATTTCTATAAGGGAAGACTGCCATTAATTCTGCCCTCACATTCTAGAGTCTCATCCTGTCATTGGACTCTACCCAAGACTGAAGGCTTCTAAAAAACTGTCATTCCAATAGCTCTCTCCTGTCTTTGCATCTACAAATAGTGAGGGCTTGCATGAGGTTGAAAAGGGGGTTTATCCAGAGGAATAAAGATACATATGTTCATTTTCCCAAGTGTTTAATAAGCATTTTTAATATCTTACCTATAACAGAGACTTTAAGTAACTCAATTTTACCCATGAGGCCTGCAGCTTTCACGTTGTCACATGCACCTTGTAACTGTGAGTCGCTGACATCAGCGCCCACATAGTACACATCCTATGGGAAAGAAATTCTGATTTTAAGCATAAATAAAACTATCAGGTATTTCCTGTAGTTAAGAAAACTTACTGCCATTTTCTCAAATAGTGAAAGTGAAATCAATAGATTTGTTCATTCAGGTTGAAACAACTTTATAGTATTTCTTTAAAATGATACTCAATAGCAAAAATTTTAAAATTTATTAACATTTTACAGTTACAAATGCCTAAGGAATTTAGAAATTAGCATAATGTCATGACTAATTATTAAGATTACGCATATCTTACTAAATTTATCATACTATTTTTAAAAAATAACAGAAACTTAATTAACCCTTCATAAGCCATTTCACAATAGTAAATAATGACTCATATAATTAAAATAATAATTAGTGCCCAAACCGGTTTGGCTCAGTGGATAGGGTGTCAGTCTGCGGACTCAAGGGTCCCAGGTTTGATTCTAGTCAAGGGCATATACATTGGTTGCGGCACATCCCTAGTAGTGGGTGTGCAGGAGGCAGCTGATCGATGTTTCTCTTTCATCTATGTTTCTAGCTCTCTATCCCTCTCCCTTCCTCTCTGTAAAAAATAAAAAAAACATATTTAAAAAAAATAATAATTAGAATTAATAATTCTAATAAATAATTAGAATTTACCGGCCATTCTTTAGCTGCTTCCAAAAGTATTGTTCCGAGTCCACACATTGGATCTAAAACAAATGCACCAGTCTATAGACAGAAATATTGACTTGGTGTTATTAAATCTAATAGGCATCATAAAAGAAACTAACATTTGAGGAATCAATATTTTAAGAGTAAAGATTCCTTTTTACACTTTAGGAATTTCAGGTAGTTCAAGCCCTAAGGCAAGTTTATGCTTGGCATGTTTAAAGATTAGAAAGGAGACCAGAATGGCCAAAGCACACTGAATGAGAGGGGAAAATGGCGATCATAGCAAAGAGGATGGCATGTGATTCCATCAAGATGGGCTGGTTTCTGCTGCCTGTAGTAACACCATATAACCTCATGTTACATGACCACAGTAAGGCAGCGGGGGCTTTGGCTCCTTTCTCTGGAAGCCAAATTGACAACGTGGTCACCATTTGGAGTTCTGCTATCGCTGTGGCAGAAGGAAAAACAGTATGACAAATTATGGGTTAGCCCTTAAAGGTGCCATCTACAAGTGACATGTCCGCCAACATTTAACTGACTAAAACATGTCAGTCACATGACACACCCAATTTTAAGGGCCCAGGAAAGTGCTATCCTATCAGCACCTGGGAAGAGAACAGGAAATCTGGAGGAAAAAACTAATCACTCCCACCCTGAATGGTCACAGGTCAGATCTGGTAGACACTGTAAGGATTCTGATTCTATTCTGAAGGATGGGGAACTATTGGAGAGCTCTGAGCAGAGAAGTAACATAACATTACATTTCAGAGGGATCATTCTAGATGATCTGTTGAGAACAGAACAGAAGGGTAAGAGTGTTAACAGGCAGGCTTGTTAGGGGATCTAGGAGATGACAGCAGCTTAAATTAAGAGCAGTTGCCCTGGCCGGTGTTGCACGGTGGTTAGAGTGCTGGCCTGTGCACCAAAAGGGATATGGGTTTGATTCCCAGTCAAGGGCATGTACCTGGATTGCAGGTTCAATTTTCAACTTCAGTTGGGGTGTGTTCAGGAGGCCACCAATCGATGTGTCTCTTTCACATAGATGTTTCTCTCTCTCTCTCTCTCTCTCTCTCTCTCTCTCTTTCCTCCCTGCTTCCTCCCTCCCTTCCACTCTCTAAATATCAATGGAAAAATATCCATGGGTGAGGATTAACAACAATAATAACAAAATAGAGTGGTATTGGTGAAAGTGGGAGAGTGGTTGGTTGGATTCTGGATATATTTTAAAGGTGGAGCCAACAGGTTAGATCAGATGTGGAATGTGAGATAACAATCTGAAATGAGTAAAGCTTTGACCTGTACAACTGGAAGAGGAGAGGTGCCTGCTAATGAGGAGGGAAGAACTGAGGAGGAGAAGCTTCAAAGGAGACAAGAGCACAGTTCTGGGCATGCTAGCTTTGAGATACTCCTAGACCAACTAGAGAGACCAAATGAGTCGCTGGACACGTGAGTCTGGAGTTCAGGGGAGAGGTTAGGCTTCAGATATACATTTGGGAACATCAGTGTCAGTTTACTGATGGCTCTTAAAGCACCAGAACTGGATGAGTCATCCAAGAGGAGAGAAAAATTAAACAAGAAAGTCTATGGTTGGGTCCTGGCCTCTCTAAGTATACGAGTGATAGAGGTTTGGAAGATGAAGATGCAGCGATGCAATGCTGAGAGCTGCACATGCTCATGTAGGAGGAGCAACCAGAGTGATCTTCCTGAAACAAACTGGAAAGAACCACTCCAAGGAGGAGGGAGCTGAAGGCGTCAGAGTGCTGGTAGGGTAAGTGTGAGATGAGCGGTCGCAGGGGAGTGCTGTTGAAAGCCTGATGGAAGTGGGCACAAGAGAGAATGGGAAGAAAGGAGGGAGAGACAGCAAGTATGGACAACTGGATTTATGAGTTTTTCCGTAAACGGAAATAGAACAGGGTGACAGCTGAAGGGGCATGTGGCTTCAGGAGAATTTTTTCAAGTTGCAAGATATTATATAACAAATGTTCCCACTGATATAGAATGACCCAGTAAAGAGAAAGTCCTAATATAGGGAAGAAGGACCAAAATCCAGTCCACAAGTAATGGAGTGAGACAAGGGCAATGTATGTGGGCACTGATACTCGTTCGCTGGTAGATTTGGCAAGGAGAACATGTTGAAGCTCACTTCTAATTCTAGTATTTAAGTCATATAAGAATCAGCAGAGTTAAAAGCATGAGCAAGGAAACGACTGTAATGGTAGAACATAAAATCCAAGCTGTGAGGGGAAAAGAGGTCAGGTGGTAAGTAATGGGCAGGAGTAGGTCAAATGCCTGGAGGTCCAAGAGGTTAAAGAATATGTAGGGTGCTGGAGGATGTGAACAGGAAAGAAAGGGTTAAGAGCAGGACTCATGAAATTGAGGTTTTGGGGAGGCATTCCCCTCTGGGTATAAGAAGGTCTAGGATGAGGTAGGAAGCCAAGACCTTGACAGGTCAGATTCCAAAGTGGATAGTGGGATCCTAGAGAATTACTAGTCTAACAGGAATAAGGTCTCCCACTCTTACAGAAACAACAGGAAGAGACCCAGTGTAACTGCAATAACCTGATGCATGTGCCTCTGAGGCACTGAGAGGTTTCAGGCAAAAGGAGCGAGCAAGTAGGACACCTACCCCACCTCCAGGCCCTGTGGTCCCTCGATATGTCTATTGAGGAAGCAGAATGCTCAGTGGATGGTCAGGTTTCAGTCAAAGCCAGAGGGTACCTGATGGAAAGAAACAAAATGTCCTGAGAGAGAAAGAAAGAGAGAAAAAATTTCAGAAGCAGAAAACAGAGTAGTTTAAGGTTAAAGTTACTAAATGCAAAGTGAGGTAATAATAATTAAATAATGAGAAAAAGTGCCTGAGCTACAGAAATAATATGTTTTTAAATAATCATTAGCTACTCCAAATAAGTATTATAACTATAATTATCACTATAATAGCTAATATTTATACACTTTCTCATGTTAGGTGCTGTTTAAATCACTTGATAAATGCTAATTCATTTGATTCTCACATGACTTCATGAAATTTTTCTTTTCATTTTGCAAATGAGAAGCTGAGGAGCAAAGATGTTGTGTCTTGCCCAAGGTTTTCCTGACAGTAAGTGGTGGAACCGAATCAGAATCCAGGCAGTCAGGCTCACCGAGTTATGGGCTGAATAGAAAAGGCATTTATAGAAGTATATCCTGGTACTGTTCCTGAACTTTATAGGACCAAAGAGGAAAGTCTTATGAACTTCTAAGCAGAAAGAACAAGATAACTATAAAGGAAAAGAAAACCATATTGGCACGAAGAACTCAGCGGTAACCCGGGAAGCTAAAAGACCATGGACAGTGCCTATCGACATCTGAGAGGAAAGGACTCCAAGCCAAGATGGGTATAGCCACCAGGATGAAAGGGAGAGATCTGAGATACATAGGAATTCAGATAGCAAATTATTAAAATACCACATGAGAGAAAAATACCTAAGCCAAGACCTTAATCAAGCGATAAACAAACCCGAGCAGAGACCTCAAATGGGGAAAGACAAAGTGAAGACCCCTGGTGAGGAGTGGTACACCTTACAATATATCTTTATGTGTTTCCTACAAACAATTCTATCTCAATAAAGAAGGACAGGCTGTATAACATAAGGGCTAAATAAGAACTTTTGAAACAGAAGAGATATACTTCAAGGGAAATCTGACAAATGATAAATAATTCAGTTCAATCTAGTAATTGGGGGTTGGGAGTGAAAGAAGATGAAATCTTTCAAAGGTCTCACTGCAGGGAGGAGTAAAGGTGGGGCCAGGAGGAGAGAAAACAGTTCTCTAGAGTACGATCTCATCTTACAATAGGAACAAGGGGAAGATGGTAATGTCTTGGTGGTAGAAACTGCCGTGGCAGAGGAAGTAGATACCTTGCTTTAAAATAATAGTAGAGTGCTATGTGTTTAACTAAGGGAGCTGGGAAAGAGGGCCATTCATGGACTAGACAAAAAAGTAAAATCTCCAACCTTAGGGAGAACAATGGAATGATTACAAGTAACTTGATCAAACTAGCAAAAATAAAAAGAGTAAACTGTAACTAGTTATAACCAGAGTAAAATAGGAGAAATACGATCAGGTGTGTCTGTCATTATACTGAGTTCTCTCATCGACAACCAGAGACCATCAGAGTGGGATACAAACAGAGCTTTGTGTTTTTGAAAACTCACTGAAAGCAAAGTTGAAAACAAGGGAGGGTCAAAGACATATTAGGCAAATGCAAAGATAAAGAAAGGAGTGAAAATATGAATAACACATGATAAAATTTAGGTTTTAACTTACTATTTGAGATAAAGAAAACTTACATAACAATAAACAGGTATAACTCATGATGAAGCAATAGCAACTGTGTACACCAAAATACTGAATAAGGCAAACATTAATAAAAATGTAGAAACTTAAAAAAATATCAATGAGATTTCAAATACCTTCCAAAAGTAGGCAGATAGTAAAATAGTAAGCAAAGACAGTGAGGACATTGACTACAAAATAAATTTTTTTCTATGTCCATGGAACATTTATAAAAATTGATCAAGATTTGGTCACAGGAGAAAAACTTTAAAATTTTAAGTAGCAGAGGTTTGTCAGCCCACGTCATTGTAACACAAAAATATTAGGAAGAATAAAATGTGGCTATCTTTTAACCCAGCTTTTTATAGGCAAAATACTCTCAGAAGTTCAACAATATTTAAAAACATATCACTGCAGAACTTCGTAAATGTAATGGCAATGACAAACACAAACAAAACTAGCAAAAAAAAAAAAAAAAAAAAGGTAAAAGAAAAAAAGAACAACAACAAAAGCAAGCAATCAAGATGTCCATAAATAAAAGACTGTGTAAGTTAATTACGGAAAGAACCTCACTAATGTATTAACAAGAATGAAGACATTTTCCTTACCTTAATTTCAGCGACAGAGGCCATTGCCCATGCTACGGTAGACCTCAGTCCTGCTGTCCTGAGGTAAGCTCTGCTGGCTAAAGAAACCCTACAAAGGAAAAAGAATCTGATGGTAGATCCAATACTACTGTAAGTTGAAGAAGAACCTGATATAAATAAAAAGGACTTACCTGCCATGTCTGTGAATCACCTCACCATGTTCATGCCACACGCACTAAAGTATTCTCTGAGTTGGGAGTATTTAACCCTCTTACAGAAATACCTTCTCTAGTTGGCACCTTGTTAAACTAGCTAGTGTGGTACTTTAGAAAGGTAACGTTTTTAAATAACAGCAACTTAAACCCTATGGCATTTATTTTATAAAAATGTTATGACACATGCGGGGGATTTTTCTAAAATGTTTTGTAGTTCCGTTTCCCATATGGAAGAAACCTTTTGTGTGCTGATGAGGAATCATCAAGAAGCACGGGCTGTTTTGTAACAGGGATGTAGGATAGGCAGGACTGGGTGGATACTAACGCTTGAAATAATTTTCTGTAGAAAGTTCCTTTAGTAAGTTTGTGTTTTGTTCATTAGCATCTCTCTCAAAAGATGAAATGAAGCATGGCATTGCACTGTCTGCACGAAGCAGGCATCTCCCAAATGAGTTCCCTGGTCTCATTATCTACCACTTCATACTTCATCCTCCACCTCATCGATGCTATCAGTTTTTCCAGATTTGATAAAAAAATTTTTCAAAATATTATTTCTATGGTGTCTAATGCAATGAATAAATTCCTTAAAAGTTTGAATGCACTTTTCTATTTCATTTATATAATGTGTTGGTAAGATATGACTATTTGATTTCGAGGATTAGTGCTTGGTTGTTTTAGGCTTGTTCCAAAACCACTAAGAGACTCTTCTCTGAACATTATACAAAGTCACAGTGTTCTCCAAACCTCATGTCTTTTGTCATTTTATTTCTGATCTGTCTTTGACTTTAAGTTACCCTGTTTTGTGTGCATTTATGGTAAGCCTCTTAAAATGTTACAATGAGATGAGGTATCTCTTTCAAATAAAACAGTGTAATTGTATATTTACTGTTACAATAAAGAAGTTCTGCAGGTAAACACATTGGAGTTTATTTTTTTAAGGGTTTTTCAGAAAATAACTCACATTTCAGACAGCATTATAGCCATAGATTTGGAATATAAACTTTGCAGGTAAAATGACTAGGAAATATTTTGATCAATGAATCTTGATACTACAGTCTTGCTACAAAACATATTAAAACCAGAATTGAGAGATTGTTTTTCACTCTTAAATACCAAAATAGATTTGGTATGGAAAACTGTCTTTGTTCATATACAGGGTATCCCAAAAAATGTATATATGCTTTAATAGCTGATAGCTCAATTTTGAAATGAAATGTATTTTTATAAACACTGCCTTTATAATTATTCAAAATGTGCATATACATTTTTGAGGGATACCCTATATATAAGTGCCTTTCTAAGTAAGCAATAGGGATTTATGTAGAATCTCTGAAAGTTTTGACAATTATTGTATATATTTTTACCAAAAGAGGTTTTATTTTATGGGGGCCAACCCTATTAACACGTGACCAAAGTAAATGTTTTTATTTTTCGTAAACCTGGAAAAATTATCTGCTGTTCCTTCAACAAAAGGGTCCAAAATTATTTAGGGGGAGGAATTATTCAGAAATAAATTCCTTGAAAATAAAAATACTTCTCCACTTTCATCGAATCTGGCCAATGTGTTCAATAATAAAAGTAAATGTAGTTTTGATACTCCTCTCCACATATATGTGTTTCATATTATCTCTATTACCAAGATGAAGATGCTCTTATCTACATTTATAACCCAGACTTGCCATCTGAATCCCAGATCTTAATTTTTAATGTGTGTTTGGACACTTTTTACCCAGAGTACTGCCAATTCAACATGTGTAAACTGACCACACTCCTTTCCCTGTATTTCATACCTTGACACATTTCTTCATTTTCTCGGGCCACTTACGTTTTGTATATTGCGTATCTTAATTTAAATCTCCAGCCTAGACTTGTCACTGGAACTCTTGAGCTATAACTTAAATATCTACTCATAGACATCTTTCACTGAATACACTACTTTCCCTACATTTTCTATCTCAGTGACTGACACCAGTATCTACTAGTTGTCAAAATCAGGCATCTGGCAATTATTCTAAGCTCCTTCACTTTTTTATGGAATTCATGGCCTCCTTTTTGAGATACAGTTCAGTTCTTCATCATTTATTGTCTGAACTATTTTAAGAGTTTAAACCTCCTTTTTTCTTTTCATTTCCCCTTCATTAAAAAATGTATTATCCTTAGTAATATCTCAAAAATCACAAATCTGATCACATCACCCTGCAGCTTCATATTCTTACTGCTTTTAGAATAAAACCCAAGTTGCTTAACATGGCTTACAAGACACTTCATGGCTTGTTTCTAATTGCTCAGTCTCATTTTCTACCACCCTCATGCATTCCCTGTCCCATCTGTACTCAAACCACTGGTTATCCCCACATAACGCAAGCTTTCTCTACTTCCAAGCCTTTGCAAGTCTTTGCTTAGAAGGTCCAGTTGGGGAAGTCCTCCTTAGCGTTCTCCACTTAAGAGACTCATTAAATCATTCTCTTCTTTGTTCGTTCGCTTCCCATCCTCCTCAGAGTTAGGTCCTCTTTTCTAACTCTAGGCAAGCATTTTTCACCAACCTTTGTTCTTCCACTGAATTGAATTCCTTGAACTTAATAACCATCTTCCTCATCTCTGAATGTTGATAATTAGCACAGTGCTTAGCATATAATAAGTATTCACTAGACATTTCAACTGAAATTAACTGAATAAATTAATCTTACTCTAATGTCTCTCCCTTTTTTCCCTAGTTACTGATCTGTTTCAGAAATAAGTTGAAATTTATTCAACACTTACTGTAGCTTAGAAATAGTACCAAGCATTTTCATGCAGGTTATCTCATTTAATCCCAACCACAAAGCAAATGAAGTAGGTACTATCATCTTCCTGCTTTTATAAGAGAAATATGATAATCTGCCCAAACTTGCAGTTAATCTGTTGAGAAGTCCATAGCTCTTATTCACTATGCTACACATGTACAGTGTGGCATAGCTATATATAGTTAATGTTCAAAGTGAATTTCAAGAATTGTGCTGTATTTTTTAATTAAAATTCCAAGATGCAAAGAGACTAAAAATTTTAGCTTAGACAAGGGCCTGTGAAAATCATTTAATAATAGAAATAATTAGATATACTTTTCAGTCTGAATGATGCAATCAGTGGGTTATTGTGATAAATTCTTTCACAGCTTTATAGGTCAGATCAAATCATATCCACTAAGCTCCATGGAAACACTTTACTGGCTAAAGTAAAGAACTTACAAGCTTTGCTTTAGCCTGCTCTGTTGTATCAATGTCTCATACTATAAATGAAAAGTATAAAGTTCTTAATTTTAAAAACTCCCCTAAGGGATAAATCTTAAGTTCAGAATATAAATACCTGAAAACAGGAATTCCCATGAGAGAGTAAGTGTCATTTAGATGTATAAATATCTGAAAGAACAAATACATAAGTTAGAATGGAACAGAAAATGCATTACCAAAATTATTGATAATTTGAAATTTTCTATTTTGAACCTATATAAGCTATATTTTAAATAAAAATCCCAAGGGTTTATTTGTCATATATGAAAAAATGTTTCACACTATTTTTCTCAAGCAGAGATGAAATAAATTTTAAGTACATTTCATAGAAAAATTTTGAGGTTAATTATGTATACAAGTTATATGGAGATTCATGTTATGAAGATCTCAAGATCCACTTTCTTCCTAAAGATTCTCTGAATTATCATAATTGAATTACGTTTTTCAGCATTTGGAGTTAGAGATTTCCTAAGTCCATCCTAATTCTAACCTCAAATAAGAATTGAGGCCACACAGGACTACCACAGGCTACCTACTGTTAGTGTGACAGAAAACTTTCTTCAGGTCAAATATATTGTAGACAAGGGTGACCTTTTCTCTCTCTACTATCTAGAGGTGAGTTTCTTCCTCTCCTTCTTCATCAAACCATAAAGTTCTTAAATGTCTCAAGTTATAATTAGTAGCCAAATGAACTTTAAAAGTTAGATTTTGTAATCTGATGAAGTTTTTGGAATATTCTAATTCTGCTGTTTGACCTCAAGAGCATTTAAACCACAACACTTTCACTCCCAGATTACTTTTATATATATGCAGTTTAATCAGGATTATTCCAATATTGATAAATTTTCATCAAGAAAAAGATCTGAAATGAATTCCCTTTAGTCAATTTAATTCCTTGATCATCACAGATAAAGTTTCCAATTTTTTATATTATTCAACTTTAGAAAAATTATTTATTGGGATTAATTCTATTTAAAATTTATAGTAAAGATATGATATACTGTTATTTTTATATATCAAATGTTATTAAGAATAGCTTCTCTATGATTTTTTTTCTATTAATTTTCACAGAGTAAAATTTGTTAAGATTTGATTCTTCTGTCAATTTTGGTCATACATTTTACTGTGTTATTTTTTGTGTTGCCAATTTTGTTTTGTGTTATTTTTATGAATAATAGCTAATATCAATTGCATTAAGTGGATGATAGGGATTCAATTAACTATATTTATTCATAAGCTAAACTATGGAAAAGTGTAATTTTGAGACAGAAAGATTATCAAAAGGAAGATGAAAAGGAAGAAACCAGAGAGCAGAAAGGGAGATGAAGGAAGGATAGACCCCTTATGTCAGAATATTATTGGAACAAAGTATTTTACATGACAGGTATAAAAGATATACACCAGGCATTACTTTTTAAAAGTGAAAAAATATCAAAAAGTAAAACAACACAAAGCATTCTGTTTTGGCTAGCAATTACTTCATTTACATCTGTAGGACAATGAATTTACAAATGAATGGTGAAAATAACGATTGTCAAAAAAACAGTGAAGATTATTTTTTATAACTTGTATTTATTTTCTCACGTGTTTTATTTTGTTCCAATTAATAGTGTAACCTCATCAATTTTTAAAAATAGAGAAACAGAAAAGAAAAACATAATCCCACAACCCGAACAAAGCCATAATTAGCATAATTATCTGTATTGTTCTATACAAGAAAAAAATCAGACTGCTAGATCCATGCAGACATGTTTTTCGAAACGCTAAAGCAAATTGAAAAGTACGATAGATTAGTTTTGACATTGTCTTTAAAGAATTAGGTTATAAGCATATAAAATAAAATAAACATTCATTACCTCTAAGTTCGGATTCCTCAAATCTGCTTTCCATCCAAAATGTTTCATAAGAGCAATTCCAATTATTCTTCCTACTTCCTGGAGAAGCAGCACGTTACAGAAAAGATAAAAATAGTATAAATGAAAAATTTAAGTATCCTATATAATAAAAGCGTAGTGCGCCAATTGTCCCCTCCACTGACCAGGAGGCGAGGCCAGCCGGGGGCTGGGAGGGAGGCCCTGGCTGAAAGCCAGCAACCACTAGGGACCCTTCCCGTGCACGAATTTCATGCACTGGGCCTCTAGTTAGATATAAGGTTTTCCTAGCAGTTAGTAGGAAAGTCAAGGCAGACTACCCAATGGTAATTTAGAATTACAATGTTAAATTATAATATTAAAATATTACACCCTCTTTCTTCCTCCCACCCCAACACATTCTATGGCATTAATATCTACTTATGTGCAATCTCTATTCTTGTGATTTTTAGAGACATGAAATAACCTGATAAAGCCATTCTGGGTTTTAGGAAATGGATGCAAACTGAAAGATTAATTCATCTACTGCAAGCCTCTATGTTTAAAATGGCCAGATCAATAACATTAGACACAGACTTTAGGGTTTGATTTTAAGGTTGGACAAAGAACCCAGACCTTTGGGTATGTGCCTTTTACATCACTGAACTTTGTAAGGGTCACTAATATGGGTTTTTTAAAGAAACTGTTTGTAGTATTTACCCTTTCATAGAGTTGAAACCTTGGGTGTATTCATGTGTGGGTTCTAGTGATAATCACACCTAGAGGGCCCGGTACAGAATAATCACTCAATAAACAGAACTGAACTGAAGAGAAACCCAAAAAGCTTAAGATCATGATATCAGGACTTCCAAATGCAAAAGCTACCCGTGAGTTTAAGAAAACTTAGTAAGTAAAGGAGGTCAGTACACGGCATACGATTCCTATTAAGACGCTGGGATAAAGTTAAAATGGAAAATGCATTTTTAAAGAGATTTAATTATTATATTAGGCCATGTTATCTGCCTGAGCCGAGTTATTTATTCTGTGAAAGGTTTTGGTCTCATTTTAAATCGAAGGAGTAGTTAATTCATCTAGAAAATAGAAACCCACTGTGGAGGTAAGCGTACCTGGGCAGAAAGGGTCTTTGCAATGGCTCCACTGCAGCGACAGGAAACTCTGAAGGTCAAGTCCTTCTGGTTAAGAATATCTCCTGCTTTTGTGACGTCATTCTGAAGTTCTTCTTGACATTCCTCTCTTTCAGTGAGAGGATCTCCTCGCTCCAGTGTTTCCTCTCCTTTTGGCTCTTCCAGCTGGCGTTCCCTATTCTCTTGTGTCTCTTGCATTTGTTCTGCTTTTAATTTCTTAGCAATAATGCTGTCATTTTCTTCCCTTTTTCTTTTTAGTGGGTTAGCATCTCCTTGAGAAAGTTTTGTCTTTTTTGCATCAAGTTCAAGAAGATTTTTCCAAATCGAAATGGCATTCAACCAACTTTCAGGATCATCACTTATAAATCTTTGCATTTCATAAAATATTTTTCCTAAATAATAAAAAAAAAATTCAGTTTATCCTATGTTTAAAGGCAGTCTATTATATTTATTCATCACTCCTAAATGCCATTATTTTTATTTTTATGAAATAAATTTTTTTAACTACTACAGGAAGAATGACTTCACTTTCATGTGGAATTTATATAATTTAAGAATATTGTGCCAAATAGGTTCATTCTTATAGTCTATACTAAACATCAGAATCATTTTAAAATTCCTATAGAATTATCTATATCATTCATAAAGATCATTTGTCCTATATTAATATATGTATCTCTTTAATATAAGCATGACCTAGAATGCATATCAATCTAAGAAATAATGCTAATCTTGCCTATAAAATTAAGTTGAAAAAAATAGAATTACAAAACACAGAGCTCATAAACAGAGCAATTACATTTTGAGACTATTTCAGACCGTACAGTATTAGCACACATCACAAAAGGAGTGTCCATAAAGGAACACTTCAGGTACACAATCCATTCATAACTTACTCAAAATAATGTAATCTTTTCTTGACGAACAAGGGTCTTTAAGATGACTCAAGAACCATTACTGTATTTCTCTAATAGTGAGAATGTGTGGACTATTGGAATGAAATTATATTGATCCCACAATATAACATCTTAGTATGTGCTTTAAATTATTTTTTTCTGCCATGTATTGATTTCTTGCCATTTGTATCTTCCTTGATACAATTTATTATACATTATACACTTACATGATCTCTTATGCATAATTAGCAATCAAAATGAAGTTTAAGGCAATGTGTAATACAGCAGTGCCTGGCCCTTATTTGTTGCTTTTATCAAGATCCTTAAGCATATTTATAAAAACAGAAAATCTCTTAAGCCCCCTTTAATTCTAATGCTTTATAAATGGTTAACAGTTTATTCAAACATCTAAGATCCCTAAAACAAGATATTTTACTACACAGTAGTTTTTCAATTACATCACTCATTAGTTAAAATTTACAAGGTGGTAGTTTGAACAATTTATTAAGACAATGCATTTTGGATTCTTACATGTCCTAAATCTAAATAAATGCAACTGACCATACATAACTATAGAGAAGGTGTTTGATCAGAATTCGCAAAGATGAAACGTGACTTAGGACACTAAAATCTTAGTAAGACAGGCAGCAGATTGTAAAAAGAAGAGACACAATTAGGTGGTAATAAAATGAGGTGATAATATTCAGAAAATATAGAAAAATACACAACTAACGATGCCCAATATAGGAATGAATCTTAAAAAAGTCAAATGGCTACTTATTAATTATCAAGCAGAAAATTCTGGAGTACATGCTAGTATAATATATTGTATGGGTATACACCATACCTTTACTTACAGAAGAAACATTAAATGGCAACTGCTTTTTAATCAGCAAAAATAATCTTTCTGCGGATTTTAATGTTTTCAGCATATTCAAGTCAGAACAGGTGGTGAAAAAAACTTTTCCTGAAATATATTCAACCTAGAGATATAAAAAATAGATACTGATTTAGTTTAGTGTAGAGGAAGAACCATTTCTCTCCCTCACCCTCAATAAATTGAAACAGAACATCTAGATTAACAACAGAAATGACCATTTCTGAAGTATCTAGTATTTGTTAGACACTGGCTTAGGCATTCTGAAATCATTATTTTTCCTCAGCCTTACAACAATTCTCTAAGATAGACTTTATTACCCCCTTTTTACAGAATAGAAAACTGAGGCTTAGGTAGATTAAAAATTTTATACAAAAGTCACGTAGTCAGTGACCAAGACAATAATTTTATTATGTTATGCTACCATTTGCAAACTGCATGTGTATATGCATGTACACACACTACTAGGAAAACAGAACACAAAATACTCAGCAATTCTATTGCCAAATCTCACACAGTATTTGAAAGTGGGCAAAGAAAAGGTATAATGGCTGGGACAAATTAGGCGTCTAGCCCAAGGTTAACATGTCAATGGGTATTTATTTTAAATACCTACTGTGTGGTCTATCAGCAGCAAATATCCTAAAGATGGATAACAACACTCCGACATACAAATTAGAATGTAAAATTTGTAAGACAGTAATGTGAATTAAATCCAGAAGAAAGTGAAAAAGCTTCAATATAATAAACTTAACAATAAGCTGTATGGTATGTAACACTGAATATGAAAGCCATCATTAGTAAAAGTCTTGAAGAAAAATCTGACAAGATCTGGGCAGAGGGATTCTAAGGAAAGAACGAAGGGCACAATGCAGAGGTGGGATGACAACCTGGCTGAAGGAAACCCTAAGTTAGCATGGCAACATGTGCTGTTATGCTGATTGTCAGGCGGATGGATGGTGTAGCGTGGGCCAGCCTGATAGATGGTCATGAAATGGAGTTCCACAGATGGTAATGGTCAAACATTACAGACTTTTTGATGAAAACTGACAGCACCAAATTAGTTGGTAGGAAAAAAAATTACTCTGGAAGAAGCATAAAGGACTGAGAGTAGATGTGATGCTGGAGGGAGAAGCAGATTAGTGAGGCAGAAATAATGGGACACTTGGCTGTGGGGACTGAAAAATGGATGGAAGCAAGAAATATACATCAAGCAGATATAGGCTTTGGGTAGATACGTGGTAAAAGTCAGGGAAGAAAAGAAAATGAAGGGCCCTGACTATGGGGAGTCTTATGAGGCATGGCAAATGGTGCTCGATACCCATGGAACCCTAAACCTTTTTGGGTCAACCCCACTCCCTTAATTCAGGATGGATGTGGATTATCCTGAAATTCTCCTTTTAGCAGTGGCTAGGGGCTGACGACATGGTTATAACTCATCTGCTAGAACGGAAGCAGCAGGGAATTTGGGGTGCCCATATGTTTAGGCAGCTCCCATTCAGCGGGAAGCTGAACTCCAAGTACTTGTTTTTAAAAAATATATATATATTTTATTGATTTTTTACAGAGAGGAAGAAAGAGGGATAAAGTTAGAAACATCAATGAGAGAGGATCATCGATCAGCTGCCTCTTGCACACCTCCTACTGGGGATGTGCCCGCAACCAAGGTACATGCCCTTGACCGGAATCAAACCTGGGACCTTTCAGCCCACAGGTTGACGCTCTATCCACTGAGCCAAACCGGTTTCAGCCCAAGTACTTGTTTTTTTTTTTTTTTTTTTTTTTAATCTGACATGGTCTAGTTAAGCTTTTGGGATGGTAACGTCTGGGCTTAACATTCCAGCTTGAAGAAGAATCTCTGCTTGAGGAAGCCCTAAGTTGACACCAATGAAAACTCAAATACTTCTGCTTATAAGTTTAACAAGTTCTGGGAATCATATGAACAGCGTGGTTATTTGTTCAGATCCCATTTCCAGGCATAGCTACCCTTAAAACACAGAGTAACAAAATATGGCAATTCCCAAGACTCTTGGCATTTAATTCTTCTCAACACCAAAGGTTTTTTCCTATCATAAGGTGAATGTTGTTGCTGTGATTAAAATACATCTCCACCCCTCAACCTCTTCTTGTGTGTAAAGATGGATGCCCAGCCAGTGTGGCTCAGTGGTTGAGCATCAACCGGTGAACCAGATCAGTTTGGGGCTCATGCAGGCGTTGCAGTCTTGATCCCCACTATGGGGCGTGCAGGAGGCAGCTGATGGATGTTTGGCTTTCATCATTTGATATTTCTATCTCTCTACCCCTCTCCCTCTCTCTGAAATCAATAAACACACACACATACACATACACACACACACACACATGCATATTATGTATACACACACACACACACATTATATATATATATATATATATATATAGAGAGAGAGAGAGAGAGAGAGAGAGAGAGAGAGAAAGAGAGAGACACAGAGAGTCAGAGAGACACACACAGAAAGACAGACAGACAAAGAGAGAGAACAAGCAGAGAGGATCTTTCTCTTTTTCTGACATACCCAGATTGAGTCAAGCCTTCTATTTTTTCATACCAAGAACTCTAATATTTTTGAAACAAATTAGTGCAGCATTATGTCATGGTCACAGAGTGGTCTATGACTGAAGCCAGGAGTCAGCCTCACTTGACAGCTTGGGTTCAAATCCCCAGCTCTGCCATTTCCTGATCCATGGCTTGAATAATATAGTGCATTTACCTATGCTTTATTTCCCTTTTCTGTTACATGTGAAGCCTACCTCCCAGGGCTGTGGTGAACATTAACCAAGTGAACACAGAGGAAGTACCTGAGAACAGGTGCCTGACATACATGAAATGCTTCCTGGCAGCAGTTGTTACTATATTGCTTTCCAGATTAGCTACCTCAGACACAATGGAAGGCTGTGGCTGTGATCAAACCCACAAATGGCAGGTAGTCTAGCAAGACGGATGACATTTCCATGACCTTCCTCCCCACCCCCCTACACACACACACACACACACACACACACACACACACACACAGAAACTGCTTTTGGGGGCTTCCAACAACAGAGGCGCTGCTGGAACCGTCCATTCCAGCTTTCCTTTCCCAACAACACATCCTGTGCACTCACACTACCCATCAGGATAGGCGGGGCTCCGTTCCATCTCTTCCCTCCGCTTACAAGAAACCAGCTCAGCCTATTCTAAAGGAACCCAAGCTGATGTTTGGAACCATGTTCACTACAATGAACAACTTACACCTACTGAACCTATCATCAACTTCCTCTGAAACTTGGGCCGGGGCCTCAGAGGACTGCATTTCTGCAGCCCCTCTTTCCTGTGTGTGTGTGTGTAAGGTGCACTTTTTAAATCACTGAATCCTCCCAATGACATATGAAGGAAGTACCACCACCGGCAGGAAACGGAAAAGAATTGGGGAACTGACCCCGCAGATGATGTGCAATGAAAGGGCGGAGAAGGGATCCTCACTCTGGCAGGTCTAATTCCAACTACAGACACTACCGCACGTGTTCGGTTAAAGAATCCAGGAAGTAGCTTGTTTCAGCCTCTTTAAAACACACACACACACAACCTCAGCCGTGAGTGATGTGCGGTGCCAGACGTGTAGGGCAGCCGGACCTGGGTCCTTGCCGGCGGCGATGACGGGACCGGCCAGCGCGGCTGAGAGCGCGGTGCCCGGGCCTGAGTCGGGCCGGCGGGGCGGGGGCAGCGGCGGGCCCCCCTCTCCCCTCCGGGCGCGGCGGCCCACTCACCTGCGTGGCCTGCAGCCGCGCCCGCACCTCCCGCATCAGGAAGGGCTCCAGGCCGCGGCCCGCGGTGCAGAAGAAGCGGGCGCCCGCCGCGGGCCCCGACGGGGGCTCTGCGGGTCCCGCCGCCGCCGCCGCCGCCGCCGCCATGGCTGCTGGGACGGCCTCCCGGGCTGGGTCACGTGGCCCCGGGCGCGCGCTGCGCAGTCGGGGTCACGTGATCCCGCGCTCTCAGGGGCCGAGCTGGCGGATTGGACAGGGGGGCAACTCAAGGCCGGGGGCTGAGGGAGCCCGTGGGAGTCACCTGGGCTAACTGCTTGGCACCTCCGTGGAGAGGCCTCTGGAAAGGTTCAGAACGCCACGTGGAAGGGATAGAGTTGATCATCTAATCCCGAGGTCGGCAAACTGTGACTCTCGAGGCACATGTGGGTCTTTGGCCCCTAGAGTGTGGCTCTGCCACAAAATACCAGGGCCCTGGGCGAGTCTATTTTGAAGAAGTGGCGTTAGAAGAAGTTTAAGTGTAGAAAATTAGGCTCTTGTGCTAAGCGCTGGAGAATGTATGAGTTCAATGACTCCCGGGAATGGTGGTGGAGGGGTTGTAGTGGTGGTGTAGTGAATTAAGTAGAAAGAACAACAGGTGTGTGTGTGTGTGTGTGTGTGTGTGTGTGTGTGTGTGTGTGTGTGTGTGTGTGTGTGATGGGGAGAGGAGGGGCAGGAAGGCGACAAGAGCAGCTAGGTGTAATTAGAGCATAAATTATAAGTTGAGAAATAGAGGTGGGTAGAGAGCAGGTTATCTCAGTACTGCCAAGGTGGATGGAGAAATTATTTCTCCAGCGGAGGGCTGGTCAGCAACATTCTCTTGGGGACAGAACCATGGCTGAGTCCAAGCTGCCGTCCTCCAACCACTCTTTTCCTCATACTTCTCCTATCCTTTTCTCTTCTGTTGTCTGTCCCACTCCAGGAGCTGACAGTAAGGTCAGGGGTTACTCTTCCTTCACTTGGGGGGGGGGGAGGAGGTTAAGTGCATTTGGTCAGCTTGGACCCTGCTTCAGCACAGCATTTCCAAGAATGCCTTTTATACAATGCTTGAGATAAGATAAAATAGGTAGAATTCTTGTCTTTTTAGGGAGAAAATAATTGGGTTTCGGTGAGGAGAGTTGCTTCAAATTCTCTCTCCATTAATCAAATACTCTGTCTTTCATCATTTCTGCTTTTTATTAAAAACTAGAGGCCTGGTGCACAAAATTCATGCATGGGTTGAGTCCATAGGCCTGGCTGATGATCAGGGCTGATCAGGGCCTTCCTTCCCCAGCTGTCCCCTGGTGGTCAGTGCACATCATAGTGAGCAGTCGAACTCCCAGTTGGTTGAACTCCTAAGGGGACAATTTGCATATTAGCCTTTTATTATATAGGATTATCTCTACTGAAAAGAACCATTGATCCTTACAGATGTTTAGCATAATCAGCTAAATTTTGCTTTTTGGATAATAGTGCATCTTCAACATGTAGGAAGTTGGAGATAGACTTACTTTTAAGTAAGATGTTTTAGGAATTCAGAGCAAAGATCTCTTCCTATTTTGGAATAATTGACAGTTTCTTTAGTTCTTAAAAGCATTTGATGTATATACTTAGATATTAAAATACAAATGATTTAGATTGTTAGATCTTTGAGGAAGGGTTGATCTCATTCCCTGGGACATTCCTGGAGAGCACCATGGCTTGCCTGTGGAAGGCTCTCAGTAAATGTATGCTGAATTGAATGGAATATAATTAAATGGAAGTTCACTCACTAAAGAAGCCCCCCTCAGCTAGGAGGAATTGCTATAACCACCATGTCAACAGGGTCCTTTGTGATCCAGATACGAGATAAGGATAGCATACTGAGACCAATGGAGATCATTTAAGGGGATAGGAAAACCCCAAAGATAAACTTCACAATTTTTGCAGTTGAGTGAGGTTGATGGTGAGCCAGGACCCTTTCTCTCTAGGAAATCAGGAGCCATTGCTATATACCAATCAATTCAACTGCCAGCTTCTTCAAAATGCCCACTCTTTCCCTCCTCCATGGCCAGATCTTTGCTTATACCGTCCCCTTTGTTGGGAACCCTTTTCTCTTCCAATTATTTTCTTTAAGGTAAAGCTCCATGTCACATCTCCTATGATGCTCTCTCCTGCCTTTCTTATGCCCTTTTACTTAACCAATATTTATCGTTTTTTATTCATTCATAAATATCTACTGAGGCCATGGCTATGTGTCAAGTCCCAGCCCTTGAGAAACATCCAGTTTAATGGGAGGTAAGGGTGATGGTGATCGATTGCTCAGAGAGATATCTAAAGAATGACAATACAATGTGACGTATGGGAAGGAAAGGAAAGCAACTGGGTCTGGCATATATAGTAGATACAAATGGACTTTGAGGTGAAGTGAGCATTTTCCATGTTTTGACTTTTCATCTTCCTTGGAGCATCTTTGCCAGGAAGGGGCATTCTCTGCCTTTTGAGGCCCACCTCCCCGTGGTCAGTATATTGTTTGTAAGCACCATGGAGGTTTGATGGACACTTGCTCATACAACTCAGCAAATTAACTTGTAAAGAGTAGTATTTTGTACATTTTTTTTAAAGAATTCAGTTGAATTGTGGCAAAACCATAGATAGACACAGAAGCCTGTCAAACATACAATCCAATCAAATCAGTGCAGATTGTGAAAGAAAAAGGAACGTATTTTTATGGCTGCCACTGTAAAAGCAATTTGGGAAAAAGCTACTGGTCACATGCTGATTGAACCACTTACATGCACACAGTAATCACCTTGGATGGTGCTTCTTGAACATTCAATTAAGAAAGAGAAAATTTAGTAAAAAATTATTGCATTGTGGATGTCAATACTGCCTTTAAATGGGCATTTATTCATTAGTGTTAATATCACTGGGTATTTAAATGTAGCATCAAAATTCAAAAGATGTAATCCTCATGCTTTAATCTAGAGAGACAAGTCAATTGCTTTAGCTATGCAGTGCATGAAATTATTTTGATGTACAAGTAGAGTCCAGTATATCCAGTGCTTTTTGGGAAAAAATGTGCCATGTATTTAATGTATGTTTTGAAACAGTAGGATATTTGCTGTGGTTTTATTTATTCAAATACATTTTGAGCCCATAAAACCACATTTATATTTGATAGAGCCTTATAATGTTCCAGTTGGAAGAGAGTATGGAAATTATTTCTTCAATAAATTTGCTGACTGAACGAATGACTGAATCTACAATTTTCTTCAATTTACTTGAATGAGCTATATTGCTTGAATAAAATAAAGCCATTTTCTTCTTGCACTTACGCTTACCTCATTCAAACTGTTGTTTTAATATTCCTTTTCTCATGTTCTATTTTGTGTGTATATTTACTGTGAATTATTTTCCTTTTGAGGTTTGCTATTACCTATCTATTTCTTAGTCTGAAGGAAGCTTCCATTATGTCCAAAACTAGCTAAAATACCCATATTTTGGCATTCCCCCCCTTCAATACTTTTGTAAGCTGTATTACTTTCTCATTGATGGTTATTTATTTTCCCTGTTTTTTCTGTGCTAATTGAAAAATATCACCTTGAAACGCAAAACAGATGTGATTTGTAAATAAATAAACCTAACCAAGGAACAGATTTATTTTCTCAGAAACATATAGAACTGTGGTTTGTATGGTACTTGGCAAAATAGAATCTGAAGGTTTTATTTGAATGTAGGCTTATTTCCATCAACCGTCTCCCATTGTTGGTTGGCATGAAGAGCTGAGAGCGGAACAGTCAAGCTTACTTTATTATATATTCATCTCTATTTTTATTTTTGTGGATGGGTGATAATTCTTTGCTGTCTAAAGGACATTTTGTGCTGTTTTGAATAATAGAGTTTCACGTCCTTGAAAAGTTCTTTCTGATATATAGCCACACATAATCAGGCTTGTCATCCAACAATTTTCTTATCAAAAGTTTGAAATTCAATAAGTAAGAATATACTGTTTACATTTAATGCTGTAAAATTTTAAAATAATGGTATGAATTAATTGACTAAACAGAAAAACATCATAGATACAAAATACAAGCATGCAACTTGCAGCACCAGCTTAGGGAATCATTTGGTTCTTTCATAAAATAGCTTTGGAATAAGACACAGTGCCAGAATTTATTGGTGCAAGTTGAGCTTCTAGATCGCAGATAATATTTGAATCTTTAATCACTCTATTTTGCTTTTATTGTCCTGATGCTCTAATCAAGTTAGATGATACAGTTCTTCTACCTCATAAACTTCAAAATTGAAATTAGCCAGGTTGGGGGGGGGGAAATAATCTTAAAAGCAAGTAGGCCTCAGAATTTATTGTAGGTACAAAATAGTCTTTGTTTAAGAGAATTCCTGGATGAAGTTCAGTGAGGCTTCATGTCACCGACCAAGGAAATATAGAAGTAATTAAACTGTTCTGTATAAGGTGTCAACAGGACATATAGCGAGGGTGAAAAATCAGATAAGGAAAGGGAGTATGTGGGTCAGGACTGTGGGAAGCTGAGGCTGGGGGCTGGCAGGAGTAAGCAACCAGGGAGAGAGATATTGCCTGTGGTGTGGGTGTTTAAGGCCTTCTAAGAAGAGTGGTCAATATTCAATTTAAGTTTGTTTCTGCTGCCATCATATTAAACCCTCTCCAGTGTCCTGAACTTTTAGTAAAACAAATAGATAAAGCATAGCCTTGTGATTCAGGTATTTTAGATTTCAAAGAATCAGGGTATCGTGATGTGGAAAAGGGACAGCGTCTTCTATATGGATTGTGGAAATTTTGATCAATGGTTATTTTCAGTAGAGATAATCCTATATAATAAAAGCTAATATGCAAATTGTCCCCTCAGTAATTCAACCAACCAGGAGTTTGACTGCTAACTATTGACAGTTTCTTTAGTTTTTAAAAGCATTTGATGTATATACTTAGATATTAAAATACAAATGATTTAGATTGTTAGATCTTTGAGGAAGGGTTGAGTACATTCAACCAAAGCAAGAACTCAGAGAAGAGTTGGTTAGGGAGACCTACATGTATATGTCTATAACCAGGGAATGTACGAAGAGGGGTGCTGGGTCATCTCTGACAGAGGAGAGGGATGCAGGCCAATTTC